CCTTCATTTATTAATAGCGCCATTTTTGCGCCTTTTCTTTCCAATAACGCATTAGTGGCAACTGTCGTTCCCATTCTGATCCATCCTATATTAGAGGTATCGATTACATCTTTTGTTCTAATGCTACCTTCCTAAAATTAATATAAATAATCGTAAAATATTTAAAGTATTTTAGAATTATGTTCATAAATTTTGTAAGATATTTCTACGTATATTATTCTATTTTGTAATACAATCTAATATTATTTATTTTGCTCGCAGATTTTTTCATATACAACTTAATAATTTATTTAATTATATATAGCTTTATAATTTTATTTGTGCAAATTACATATTTTCAAACTGGCTGACATATAACTTTGTTTGTGCAAATTATATACTTTCAAATTCATACTGTAACATTTTTTATTAATAAGTTCCAAATTGTAAAAAATTATAAAATTATTTTTTCATAACTTTGAATTAATTAAAATAACATACCTCAGCTAGTATCCTACGAATACCTTCTGTCGGCGCGTCGTTATAATTATTAGGATCTACGGATAGTAATTTCATAACTCGAATTTTACCTCCAGGACACCTAGCGTATATATCAGTAAACGTGCCACCACGATCTATGGAGAATTGGAATTTATCATTTTCCATTGATGTCTCCATGGATGAAATCTAGTTTATAAACCCGTAGATGAACCCTAATTTAAAAAAAAGAAATATTATATTGTGAAAATTTACTTAATTTGTAGAAGTTAAAATATTTCTTTACTTATGATTATAATTATCAGATAATTAATAAAGTTCTTTTTTTTGAAATTACAAAGTTTAATGTAGGTCATAATTTAATGCAGGTAATGGTGAAATTAGATAAAGTGACCTATTCTCACGGCTGTGCAGTAGGTTGAAAGTAGTAGGGGAATCTGTCAATCAATCAAGTTTTGAACTCATTTGCAGAAATTCACATTACTCGTTCGCATTAGAGTTCTAGGACTCTAGTTTACACTGCAAATGAGCTCAATTTCTCATTGATAGAGCTCTCAGATCACATGACGGAACCTCTGCCATTATGCGCAATGATTCACCTTATGTAATTTCATAATACAAAAAATCCAATAGATTGTACGTATTACAAACGTTACAAATAATATTGAAAATATGAACTGTTTTATATAAGTATATTTATATATACAAAAATTGAAAAGATGTTATTGTGAAAATTGATCTAAAAATGAATACTCCAATCTTATTAGTTTTTTTTTCGTGCATACGCTGTATCAATTTAAACTTAAAATAAAAGCTTCTTCAAAAGCCTAGCATATCTTTTGGGCCGTGCATAGTTTTTATTTTCATTTTAAATTCATATTGTGAACTCTTATAATTTTTTTCAATGTCATTATAATGCAATATATCAAATTTCATATATTAAACTTTGTGTTTTAGAAAAGCAATAAAATTTTTTTGATTACTAATAATTTTATACAGAACACAACATACATATATCTTAAAATAATATAATTT